TATGAATGGTCACAAAATGATTGCATAAGGGACTGCACAATTTACGCCATTGATGGCATAACTGACCTACAAATAGGGTAAAAGGAACCTGCTGTCACCCATCCAAATAACACAAACATGCACAACCTTCACCAAAATCATTCTAAGCACACCAGCTTCGTATCAGGGACCAGCATGGCAACAGCTCCGGTACTTATTTAATGTGTTCATACTCAGAAGAGTGGAAGATGCAAATAAAATCCAGAAAATTCAGAGACCTGGCAAGTACAATGTATGAAGAGTGTGGGAGGGCTAAATAACTGCAGGATGTGTAAGCGGCACCTAAATAAAAAAGTGCCTTAGTGTTTTAAACTGTTTAATGTGCTGAGGAGCAGTATGAAGATTCACAGTGCTTTAGGAATAAATGGTGGTAAGAACAACAGAATATGAACATCACCATTAGTAGAGCAGGTGGCCTTGTGAATGTCCTAAGTGGCAGCTCATTGTTAAGCAGCACATTGAGCTTTACAGCAACTCCAGGAAAGGTATTTTAAGCTAGCAATTTACAGTTAGCAATAAGTAGCTCAATTTCATTTCATATCTTAAAGAAGAATGAGAAATTAAGTCATTAACATACCTTCCCACAAGGAGAAACTACTAGTGCAAAACAGCTATTTTTAGAACAAAAGCTATCTGCAGGTCAAATTAAAAAAGAATGATTTACTAGTAGTATTCTTTTTATTAAGTTATTAGTAATATTGTATAGTGCTGGGTAATTAAGATCTTAAGACCTACCCAGGTTTTCAAATGAAGGCTGTATATTTTTCTAGCAGATATGCTGCTGCTGAAATAACTTATGACAAATTTGTGTTGTACAGTTAAAATAGGTGGCCAGATATCTATCCATCTATTATGGCCTAAGCAGTAAGGCACGGGAATCAAACTAACTGCTCCTTGAGCAGAGCAGCTTAAGCAAAGCTACATTTAGAACAGTGCCAGGTCAGATCCCGCTGAAGCTGAGGTTCAGGCAGAAGCTGCTGTAATGAAGAGAACAGTAATTACCCAGGGCTCAAGAACACAGCAATGCCTCTGGAAAAGTTTAGCAGAATAAATAAGGGTCTTAGGAAGAAAGATGAAGTGGAAGAACACAATGGGAACCCTCTCTCCGAAGCTTAAAGGTGCAGATTGCAATGGAAGAGTACCAAAGGCTGAGCGGATAAGGAGAACGTAAAAAGTGCGAGCTGACCGTACAAACTGACATTGTGGGAGGTAAGGCCCTAGAACTGGCAATTGTTATGAGAACATTTCCCTTCTTTACCTGTTTGCTTTGTGATTGAAAGCTGTTGAGTCAGAAGAGACCTTCCTAGGGGAAGCAGCTGTGTTTTGTTGTATCTAGCTCTTGAAACTCACTTTAACCATTTTTGTATTAGCCTATATAAAGGCAGAGGGATAGAATAAAAAGTTCTTATAAGACAGGGGGATGAGGGAGATAAGAGGTAAAAGTAAGACAAGTTCTGCGTGGTTATTTTTCAAATGCCTGGTGGCAGCATGCGGCTCTCTTTCAAAGGTTGAGAACAGGGATCTTACAAGACACTGCCAATTACAGGGAAGGAAGCTGTGGCCTGATTTCGGATTCCGAGATGCATTGGGAGATAGTGACCACAAGCAGCTCTGTACATCCTGGATAGACGGGATAAGTTTGGGAAAACACTGAAGCTGACAATCAGAAGATAAGATCACTTACTGGTAACCACAGCCTGTACAATGCGTTGTCCACAGGTGCTTCCATGCTCTGCTTCACGCTCATGCTGTGCAGTTTCACACTCCTTTCCCGCCAAAGCAATACTTAGAAGATATGCTGGATGCATGAGTAAGTCAGTAGCATGTGTCATACAGCACAACCAATACCTCCTAACTGTGGAAGCTCAAAGAGCTACCAAGGGCTATCGGAAGTGAGGAAGGAGAGGGAAGCAATATCCATGCCTTGCAACTTTTTTCATCTTATTTGTATTGCAGGTAAATTCAAGTTACTGCTTGACATCCAACTCCTCCAATTCTGATTCCACATCCCCAGGTTGTATAAGAGGCTGTCTCAGAATCTTTCAAAAGAACAAGTGGGTCACAACCTTTGATGCATCAAGTACTTAATTTTTCTCCTATTTTTGTTGCCTTGTTCAGAGTATAGTTTATAAACAGAGAAAAGATGAAGTGCTGTAAAATTAACCCTTGCAGACTGTTACATTTTTGATCAAGAAAAGGAAGGAGCTGTTGGGGTGAAAAGAAGTGAAATCTTCAGACTGGGGACATTATTTCTTCCTCTTCATCTGAGACTGAGGGAAAAAGATGAATGTGTCCTGTGTAACGTTCTGAAGGCTCTGTGAAACCACGGAGTGGTGGTGCTGTGCCCTTGCACGGCTGAGCGCACAAGCAGCTTCAGTATTGTGAACGCAATCCAAATTCACCTGGGCAGGCCAACAGCCACATAATCCTGAATTCCTGCTTCCACTTGTCTGTACAGAACACTGGCTGAAAGACAGCCAGAGCTTTAAACCAATACTCAAAAACGGTGTCTGCCCGCTACCCTGTGTGGCTCCATTTAGCAATGGCAAGTCAGCATTCAGCAGAACAAGTGTCGTGACTGCAGCAAACTAGATTTTAAGACACACCTGAAATTTTTATTTTCCCTCTGCCAAAAAATTTCTGATTTACAGTGTCTCCTTTAATCTGCTTACATTCCAGGTAACATATCAGCTGCACCTTAAAATTTGTAACCAGAAAACCCTGTGATACAAACTACTGATTGTACATCTTAAAAATTTTATAATCACTTTAGCTGGCTACTTTTGCTCTACGCTCTATATGAAGTATGATAGAACTAGTGGTGGGTCCTGGAGGGTGAGTACCAACCCTTCATGCAAACCCTGTTGAGGGAGAATCCGAACGCACGCCCCTGAGAGCACCCACCCGGCAGGCCCCAGATGAGCCATCACTGCTGGAAATCTCAATGCTTAGCGTTCCTAAGAAATGCAGCAACAGGAATGGTTCAGAAATGAATAACAAACGCCTCATCTGACACAGAAATGCATGGTGGACAAACAGGAAAACCCTGCACGTAGCTTGAATCATCTTCCCTCAAAAACAGGGCAGCTGAACAAAAAGGAGACACAGGAAAGTCAACAAGAGCAATTGGAGGCACTGAGCAGGTCCTATGCAAAGATTCTGCAGTCCAAAACTTCGATCTTGGAAGACAGATGCATCGGGGGAGTGAAATGGCACATAACAGAACTGTGGGGTGACAGAAATGGTCCAAGGGGTAAACAGAGGACAGACACTTCTCGGTGAAAAAAGGCTCTGGAGCCCAGTTAAATTACTAAGCTAACAAAGGTACACATTTCAAAAAAGGATAATTAAATCTTGCAACTCTGTCAAACAATGTATTAGAATCTCTAAATACAATTACACCCGGCATCAACATGATAGATTTGCAGTGAGCTTCACAGTCCAACTACAAGTACCATAAAATATCGCTGACCAGGTAAGGCTACGGCAGAGAGCAGAAGCTCAGCGTGTTTGAAAGAAAGCAAAACCAAAACAAACCCCTGCAGTTTTCTGGGTTTTCTGTATATATGCACACATATAAAATGTAATACATATGTAATGTATAATATATATCCATAAATACATGAATGTTATATATTATCTATGTTTATATATTATTAGTAAAAACCTACATGTTTGCAGATATACAATACATGAAAATACTATTTCAAAAATTCTAAAATTGTTGTACAGTAACAGCTAGATTTTAATTAGTTGAACAGAATTCTAAAGACCTGACAGTTACAGCTTTTAATCAACTGAAGACCTTCTCCTGATGAAAACCAATAATTGCTAAGTGGATTCTGAATCTACATAAATGCAAATTCGTGTCTCACAAAAAACCCTACCTACTTGGAAAACTCTGCCAAAAGAAGTGGTAGTCTCCATCTCCTGATGCATGTAATCCAGATAAAGGATAAAAGTTTTCAAATATAAGTTACTGGAACTGATTGCCAGATAAATTTACAAATTCTTCCTGTCCTCAAATGGTCTAAAATTTGGATTGCTACATAATTCTTAATTTTAATCTGTAATTTTTGTGCAAATTATGCCTCTGAATTTGTCTGAATATTGCTTTAGTTGATTGTACTCTATGATTAATGAAAGAGGAAATTCAAGAGACAGAAACAACATTTGAAAGTCTCAAACCAAAAAAAGGTTCAGCATGAGATGCAGAACTCCGTGTAGATCACTGCCTTGGAAATGACTGAAGCTATTGCATTCCACATAGCCAAGTCTTTCTGATCTTTGCCTAATTCTAATTGCTGATACACACAAAAATGAGGGAGGGAAACATCTCAGCTATAATTAACCATTCAGAACGGGCTGTATGCACAGAATACAACAAAAGTGCACAGGAAATTCTGTGCAGTAGGAATATGGTGAAGTTGAATGGTTCGTGGGTCTGGGATAATCCTTTTCATCTGTTGCAGACTGAATTAGCCCATATTCACAGGAAAGCTGCAAGGGTATGAAGACAGCAAAAGCCCAGGAGTGAACTATGTGCACCCAGTAACCAGCCTGAGAAACTGCCAGCGTGCCCTGTGCCAGTGAACCCAACTCCTGCTGCCACCACAGCCTCCAAGGTCGGAAACCAGAGAACCTTTGCCAGCCCATCCGTACCTCCAGTGGAGGTGGCAGCTCTGACCCCCAACCTGTTGGGAAGATAGTGAGAGGTGGGGAGCACAGCACAAGGGATGTTGTGTATATGATGAGAGATTCTCTACCCAAACTATCTCTGGGAATCAAGAACCTGCAGGTAGCTTGGCGTGGTCCCAGCACCTACGTGGGACGCCAGGTGGAAAACACCCAGGGCACCTGGTCGGACACAGGGCAAGAAATTAACAGCCTATGCTACCAGAGGCAGAAGCTGGAAGAAATTCAAGGCTGGAGGATCAGTCTGAAGGAAACTGCCCAGTCTGTTACAGTAAATGACTTTTATTTTTTAAAAAATGAAATAACCGTGAACATATTAACAGGCCTGCAGGTGGCTCTACAGTACAGCTGGATATAAGGTAGATACATTTCCCCATGTACCCGGACAATGAAATCCATTGCATCAATGCTGACATTAGTAAATTCTGAATACAGTTCTATCAAGCAGGAACATTTTACTTAAAATAGTTCTGGACAAACTTGACACTGAAAGTTAACTTTTCCTTCACTTTGGAAAGGATAGATGTTTTCAGCTAGCACTGGCTTTAGGTGAACTATTGCCTGCAGTCACCAGCGCAGGGAAAGATGTACAACATCTCCACACGAGATCAGAGTTCATACTCCTTTTAACTTCTCATTCTGAGGAAGTAGGGTGGCACAGGGAGAAGGGGGAAAGATGGGTGAGGAATATGGGCAAGGGAGGTGGGGTGTCAATTTCTATTCACTCTCCTTTGGCTGTTCTTGTGCTATTTTGGACTGCTTTCTAAAAATCACTTCTTGATTTTATTGAAAGGAAGACTAAATGTAATGCGCCTTTCCTTGAAAATCCAGGAACAATTGTGGTACTTCAAAAATACTAAAAATATCTACTTTCATGAAATATTAACTGTTTCACTACAAACCTAGTTTTTCACTAAATACACAACCCTCCTATTTCTGGAGTCTCCTGGGGAAAAAAAAGTGGGTTCTCCCTTTATTTCTGCAACTCTACAGTGTATAGAGAAACGGCTACAAGAAGGGGAGTGCAGAGAATAGCTTTATTCTTTTCCTTGGCCTGTATCTCACATGGAAAGTTTGCTTAAATTTCTGCAGTTGGGCTACTGTTGGTCACACTCCTTCAGCAGCTATCAACTAAGTCTGCAGTAGGACAAACCACCTCCAGCACATTCCTTCTAACTTTGTGGAGACTAACTAGGCATGAGGAAAAAAAACCATCCACACTCTTTATACCATTTCTAATCATAATATGCAGGAACACCAAGTGGTTTCCGTGTTCTTAGAATTTGCAAAAGGCCACAGGAAAGGGACATGGCACCTTTTGTTAGAATCTGGAATTCTGCATGTAACAGTGCAACCTTCCATTAGACCTTCAGTGTTGAGGCAGCATAGAAAACAGTGGCTGAAGAGTGTGTGCAATACTGACCACACCAGCTCTTAGTGAGAAGCCTCTGCTCCTGCAGAGGCAGTCGTGTGCAGTCCCTGGATATACTGTGAGCAAAAGGCTTACTTCACAGGGCATTTGGAATTAGCAGTTCCTACGATCTAGCTAGTTTGGATTCATGAGCTTTCAGTGTGCCAACAGCATCTTTCACTGCATGGTAGATAATGTTCTTCACCTGTAACAGGAAAAAAAAATAATCAACTTCTACAGACTAACCAGGAAAGGCTTACATACCTATGCAATCGACTTCAACAAATGAACTTGTAATAGTTGGCAAGTACACACAAAGTACATACTAAGAATGCTTCAGGATACCAACAGCACAAATTTTAACTGTCACTGTTAGATGACAAATATTTTAGACACCTGAAATGACTTATTAATTCATTTTCTGGTCATACAGCATATATTTACTTACGTTATTTATAAGTCTCTCTTTCATGAGAGCCAGGAGGAGGTATACTATGAAGTCAAGCATATGAGTTTATTTTGAAAAAGTCCTTGTGATCCAAGTCACTTACAGATTGCTCCAAAAGGAGCAAGAAAATAATATGATTTAACGCATGTAAATTAAGATGATGCAACAGATCATCCTGCTGCCTTTGTATGGAGGCTAGAAATTCTTCTAATTTGTGCATCTTCCAGAAAGGCAAGATCAGAGATGAAAAATCCACTAATCTGTTCCACGCTTAGCTATTTAAAAATGAAAGCTCTATCTTGTTTCTGATTTTTCTGATCTAAGTTTATTTTAATTCACTTTCAAGGTATTGAACGGAACAGTTTCACCTCTAAGTAGCTAAACTGCACTGGCTCAACTGACGGCCAAGCACCGTCTTTTTTCCTGATGTGCATATGATCTGTCTTTTATATCATTCACGTGACAGTTATTGTCTGTGTATTTATATATATATATATTTTAAAATACAGAGACAAATGTTTATGTAAAAATACTATTAAAATAGACACGAAGAATGACAAAGAAAAATGGTAAAGTTTTAGCTGAGGCACAAATAACAACCAGTATTCCTTTTCACAGGAGTATTGGGTTCCAATTTGCCATCCATTACTTGTTTTTTTAAAATAATAATAAGCATTATTCATTTGCAGCCTATTCATTTACAGAAGCACTTCTACATCTGAACCACTACAGCTGAAGAAGTACAGTGTCAGAAGCTGGATCACCACAATGAGAGTTGATTCTGCTTATGCTTTCCTTTAAAATCCCATGCAAATCCATATAGAAATTGATAGCAATTTTTCACCTAAATGTTTGAGAGAATTAACATAAGTTCTGACCTTCTTGGGTGACATCCTGGAGAATGGCTATATATCGCGTCCTCAATTTTGCAAGAATAGCCATTCTGCAGACCCCCAACCCTCCTTCATTTTACATGCATGAGGTTACTAATACACAAAAATGCTAACAACAAATTCTGCAAACTAAACAGATACTAACTCTTCAGAAGCATACATAGGTGAAATCAGAAAAGGTCTGCTACGGTGTTCTCTGCAGAACTCAGTCTTATGCACAATGTACTATCTCAGTGCATGATGTGTTCTGTGCATAATCATTAGTTTAAGGAGTCACATTTCTTCAAACCAAAACACATTTAATTTTTCTGTTTGGGACTAATTTAGAATCATAGAATCATTTAGGTTGGAAAAGACCTTTAAATTCAAAAATAAAGCTAGCACTGCCAAGTCCACCACTAAACCATATCCCTGATTTAAATAAGCAAGCCTTCACTTTCAGAACAGTTTTCCTTTAGGCAATAAACAAACAAAGGTAAGTGTCCTTGGCCAAATAAACATATCCTTCAAAACAAAGCACTGCGTTTTTCTTTTTAATAGGTTCCCCCCTCTGCTACGCTTCACAGTCATTCAGGATTCAGCCATTTAAAAACTTACTAATACCAACACATGCACTAGCCCAGTACGGGGACAGTTCTCTGGAAATCCAGAAGTTTATTACTACTTTTTGTTTACATAATACTGTAGACATAGGTGCATTCATTCTTTTTAAATACTTATCAAATTAGAACCTCCAAAGTTGTGGAAAGTTGTTATTTTTTTCTTAATTAATTAGCCACACATATAGTACTGAACAAAACTGGCAAAACACAGGATATAGTTAGTGACTACTGTCATGAAACAGTTACCTGCAGTTTATCTTCGTGGTTTGTATGAGTATTAGACAGGTGCCTGAACTCCTGGGTCAGACGGAAGCAGTGCTTCACATGCTCTGGAGACACAAAATCTTCTGCAACTTTAATGCAGCTGTACAAATTATGGACCTGAAAAAACACATATTAAATAACAGATACATAAAGATTGAGTGACCCATACAAACCCCTGCTCCCCACCCCCAAAAAAATCCCCAAACCCAGACCCCCTACCATGTATGTTAGGTTCTTCCACATTTACTTATCGGAAACAGGAAACGAAGCCTATTTGATCCCACACAGAATTGTGTCTAATGTTAAAACCAGAACAAAATACATGACATCTCCCGTGTTGTTCCCTATTCTCCCACATACACTAGTGTTCCCTAAAGCACGTTCTCTACTGTTCTCCATGCTTTTTTTGTAATTCTGTTCCCTTGACTGAAATTTCACTACCCAGAAGTGCTTTCCCACCATTCGCCCTAATTTTTTTTTTTTTCTTAATTCCATCACAGTACTGTACAGATCATTCAGGTATTATTATCATAATGACTAAGATCCACTTCAAATAGTTTTTGTAAGAACTGCATAGGTAGAAAAAGGAACTTAAGTCAGCAATATTAACTAACAGTTATTCTGAAGGTGCAGTTCTGTTGTGCCTCAAGTTCAACTCTATTTGTCAACATGGGCTGGAGGTAGCATACTTACCTGATGGGGAGCACCTGCAGGAATGAACACAGCATCTCCAAGGAACTGCACTATTGCCCAGCCTTGTACACCATACTCATCATAGAGTCGCTTACGTAAGGTCTGGTCCAAGTACCAACTTTGGTCATGAATGGGGTCATGATCTGGGGGATTTTCTTGGCCTTGTTCTTCTCCAACCTAGGGACAAGATATGGGGTGGGGGGGAAACCATGACACAATGCCTTGATATTGCTGGCTCACATAAAGCTCTGTACCAAAAAACATAACAAACAATTTCAAGGTGGGACATTACTTTCACTAAGCTCATTTAGGTGTTAATTAGTGACATGGGCATTATCATGAAGATTCTAGACCAGGCTGAAAACCTGGGCACATAATAACAATGTCCTCAAAGACAGCATTAGAATACCTACGGACTTGATGTTGATAGCAATTTGTATCATTTGGCTGCTGTAAGCAAGCTAGTCAAGGAACGCTGTAGGCTCAAGTCTCCTTTGTAACCAACGTACCTTCCGGAGAAGTTCCCGTATCTTTTCAGCATCCTTGGCAGCATAGATGTGCCACAATGCTCCAGGTTTCTCTCGTCCTTCGTGGATTCGCTGCTTTGTTACATCGTCAGCGTCTCCCTCATCAATTGTTTTCAGAACTTCTGAAAGAGGAAGCCAAATAAAAGTGACATGACCACAAAGCTTCTGGTTTTTGGCATACAGAAGAGCAAGGAGCATTTTGAGCTGCTAAATCCAGTCACACTGCTACTGCAACTGCTGCATCGTACAGTAACCTTTCTAAACAGATCAAGATTCATGTTAACAAAATTCAGGAAATGTGTGAATTGACAACTAATCACAAAGCTCAGTCGTTAATTCAAACTGAACTAACTATGATTATTCAAAGAGAAAGAGAAGAAAGAGTAGCTTATCCCCCTTTCTCTTCCTTTCTTCAGGGAGATACCCAATTTCTAGCAAAACACTGCTGCTTCCACAGCTGGGAACCAATGAAGCATTACTGCACTTTTAAATGTGTGCTGCAGACATCGCAAACTGCCTTCTATATTTGGGTTATATCTCACAGATATAACTACCTTAAACAGTAAAAGGTACTTCTTTCTCACACACACAATTTTTAATGGACAGAAAACAGCTTTCCTCAAACATTACCATCATCATGGGTGCCTTCCCCAATGGGAATCCCAACATACACCATGACGTTAACAGCATCAGACACATCCAAGTGCAGGTTTGTGGTACCAACTCGTCTGTCTTCTGCAGTAATTAAGCCTATAATAGAGTGTAAAATAAAATAAAATTCTATTCAAGCTCTTATAGAAATAATCTGCCTGAAAGATCCTTCTAGAATGCTAACTTTACACAGCAATGACAGCAGAAACCAATGTCAAAAGGCAGCTGAAGTAGCTATGTTCATGTCATGTGTGGTGTAAGTAAAAAGTTTACTGACAACTAGTATTTTTATTTTACAGGAAATAGAAGTAACAAATATAGTTCACCCAAGTAATGACAAAACAAGCATTAAAAAAAAAAATCCTGAACTTGTACTTTACAATTTTGTCTCTCTGAGGGTCATTTATACAGTCTGTAGTAGGGAACTCGGCTTTCATAATACAAAGTTAGTGGGCATTCCTTGGCATGGTTTTCCTCCGCTTGGAGGTACAAGAGAAATCTCAACTGCTCTAAGTGGCATCAGCATCACACTGTGTGTAGCAAGTCATTGGACTGTTACAAGTGTGAGCCTCCAGCAGTTCATTATTTTCTCATACTCAGCTGTAAAATCCACGTGATCAGCTGAATTCACAGCAGTCATTGTCCAACTCATCATTAACAATTCAGATTACAATCGAGTAAGGAAAAACACCTGCAGACTTTCAAATGCTTATAACTTTATACACTGGATGATCTTACCCCTCTCAAGTGGCTATGAGTAATGGAGAAAGAGGTTTCAAACATTTGCTGCTTAATTCTTTCACCTTCCCATATAATACATTCTTCTCTCTTCCTCTGACCCTTCAATAGCACTCTCTCTCTTTCTATTTTTGCTTTACCACCTCGTCTAGCAAGTAACATGGGAAAAAAAATTAAAATATTAAAAAATCTTTGTATCAGCAAACACTGACGTATGACCACAAGACTACTGGTTATGTTTTAGGATCACCATTGTATTTATCTCTTTTCTATTTAAAATATAAGCTTCTGGGGACAGGAACTCAACTCACTGTATGGTACCTATCATAACAGACCACAAACAGCAGCTAATTTAGACAGTTTGTAACGTGAACTTTAAGAAAGCACAATGAAACACAACCATGGATAAACACAGTGTATAGGTGCAAAAGGCAGGCCGGAGAAATTCACAAAAGACAGGTAAGGGCCCTTACTTGAGGTCGATAATTAACAACCTCCGCCCCAAAACTGTGCTCTGCCAGATGCAGCAGGATATAATTTGTCATTCTTTCCTTCATTATTTGCTAGTGGTCTGAGTCACACAGGGTATGCTGAGAAATACAACATCAACGGCAAGTCTTATGTCAAACAGTTCAGGTTTTCATGTACAAAAACAGGTCAGTATTTAAGGGTCCTTTACATAGGAAACCCATTGAAGGGAACAACGTTTCTTCACGGTTAACTTCTGTAAACAGTCCTTTTATTTAGGTAACCAAGTATCACTTTAAGAATCAAGCTTCAGTCACGATTTTTCTATCTCAATGCTTTAAAATGCTAAGCACATGAAAGACTTTACCTCACTATTGAGAACTTTTTTCCACCACATACTCAGAAAAAAGCCCCATATATTTACAATCAAAATACATTTAATACACTGGAAAAGTTACTCTTATTCACCATACACAGAACTACTGTTTTTATGTCTAGGTTCACCCTTTAATTTTTCTGTAAAGCAGCCAAGAGCAAAAAGATACAAAACTGTTTTTGAAGACAGATCTAGCTAATTCTTTTCTTTAACTTGAAAGTAAACAAAGACTAATATTTTCTCTCTTTGGGCCAAGACGCATACATCTAAGCAGGATCAAATAGTAGAGGGTTGCTTTCTATGCTAAAAAAATACTGTCAACACTCCCTGCACAAACTCTGATACAAAGGAAAAGAAAACTTTGACATTGAAGATAAATTCAACTAAATTAATCAATTCCTTCCATTGTTAGCAACTAGCAATACACAGACAAATTAGCCATCACAGATTCTTGCTGTTCTCATTTTTTTAAAAATATATATTTATTTATTTATTTTGCTGGATTGTATTATAACCTCTTAGGTGTACGGCCTTCTTCACTCAACTTACATGTCAAGTAATACATAAACTAAAACACTGAACCTCATTAAATACAGAAAAAACTCAAATTGCCTAAGTTCACAAACCCCTCTGTTTATTTAACTCTAATTTATGATGTCATACTGCTAAAAAACCCAAAATAACCCCACAAACACTTTATCAGAACTGCAATATGTTGGTTTACAGCTTAAGTCTAATCCACAGTTGGTTACTGAGCTAAAACATTTTTTTTAAAAAAATCAAAACAATGAAAATCTTTCATGTCCTCAGGCGAGTTGTTACTGTAAGTACATCGATAATCGGAATGTAAAACCTTAAAACCCTGCACACCTGTCTCAAACATTCAAAGAGAACTACAGAAGTTATGTTAGGGTAAGTTTTCTTCCACATACTTGCTTTGCGAGATGGCTGCAACTTTTTCCTTATCAGTGTCACCTGACATTTTTCAGTATATACAAAGAGCAACTACTTTAAATGCTATTTATCTTACTCTGAAGTTGCAAAAGTAAGTACTTCCAAATCAAAGTATAAAGTATCCTGGAACTTTAACAATCATTAGCTTTAAATTAGAAGTCTCCAAAACCTGCTTTTGACCAAGACCTCAAAATCAGTACACTCAGGAACTGAAATAATTCAAGTTGATACGATATGCATTAATCATATATCCTCCTCACTCCACTACACTGACAATCATGTGAAAGGTTAATGCTTCACAGCCCCATGCAGGGTATGTGCTCAGAAAAAGGCTTCTTCCGTGTGTATGCTATTTACCTACTATATAATTACAGTCTTAAGAGGACAAAATATCCAGTTCAGGTAGCTGAACATGGTGACAGTTTTGTCTTGCATGTTGTCTGTGGTCTGTGTTGCTCGACATGGATGAAGAAAATTACAACTCTGGTCCAATACATGAACACAGATTGGAGTACCCAGAAGCTGGCTAATTTTCCTCTCAAATGTACCAAATGGTCTCAAAGGTATTAACTTCTCCTTGAACCCTGTATCAGTATTATGCTTGTTATATGTATTAAATAATTGTTTGCAAACTTATCATATGTACATCTCTTGGAAGCCACAAGGCAAAAAAGGGCACATCTGAGAGAGAAGACTAGCATAGGAATAGATCGCAGGACCAATTAAAAAAAACAATGACAGTGTGCTCTATGGCAAGCACTGAATTTTTATTAATGCCACAGCCTTGCATAGGCCCTAAGTATAATAAAATGTCACAGAAATCAACATCTGCGGAACTATGATCACATACCATAGGCATTGTACATTTTGGGACCCAAGTCAGGACGGACAAAGTAGCTGGGCAGCCTAGAAGCCAAATTCAGTCTGCCATCCCTCTTGGTATATTCAGGAAGAGGAAGATTTTCCATCAAGTCCTCAAACCTAGAGAGCAGAAAGAGAACAAAGGCATGTTGTCCTTCTGTAGTGCCTACAGCAGTCCTGCAGGCATTGATACTAAGGTTTACTTACCTTGTAGGCATCATATCTCTAAAGTCCTCCCCTGGAGGCCAGTCCTTTAACTTTAGTACCATTGGCTGACCATCTTCTGATCTGAGCCGTTCTGCAAGAAACAAATTAAGATTTCTTCATGTAATATCTTTCTGCCACAGCCCATTACCTTGTTTAAGCTGTAAGTCTCTTGTACCAAGACCTCTTACATTGCACAGCAAAATGAATCCTGCTTTTTCTTTGGTCTTCCAAGCATTACCATAATATGACCAAACAATGGGTTAAGAATTACGTGTATACATATATATATATATCATCACCTATAGCAGAAGTTTGACAGATGTTGCACAGCTGCTAAGTTTTAGAATAGTTTTTATCCAACTCTGAAAACAAGCCTTTCCACAGCATTCTGCCTTACCACTTTTACCAAAATCTAAAGTTTTATCTTTCATTTCAAAAGGAGTGGTGCTTCTATAAAATTAAAGTTATTGGTTCATGCTCTGAAATCAACCCTAATCTCAGTATAAAGCAAGAAAACATGGTACACCACACTCAAAAAAGCTAAATGGCAAGTGGTTACTGAGGAAGACAGCCTTTAGTTTTTTACACTCTTCTTTGCCAGAGGCAACTGGCAGGGTGCCAAATTCAAACATTTATTCTTCACTTCAAGAGTTGTACGCGAGTCCTGACTGTTAACAGAGAAACTGGTGGCACAGAAAGATGATGTTACGTACGCAACAGTGGATGTACGATATGACAGCGCAGACCACACCAACCGCTGCTGTGCCTCGGGCGTTACGATGGCTGAGAGTATACCTGGAAGCAGCATGTCCAGCAGCTTAGAAGACTCAGCATAACATTTAGAGAGAAACAAAGTTCACCCTTCCACCAGATCCTTCATAACTCTACATGAAGCCATCGGCTGGAAAACAGGAGGTACTACAGTCTGACACCTTCACACCCCTTTTTCCCCAGAAAGTAACATCCTTCACCACCTCCTACCTTACCAAGGATTGTCAGCCAAACAAAAAGCAACTGATCTTACCCAGACCTAGCAGAGCTGCCGACAGCACCGAAAGAAAAAGCACATCTAAGAAACTAGGGCTTGGAGACCTATGAATCACATCTCTGCTACATATAATAATACGTTATAGAAGACAGCTGTTGTTTGCAATATAAAAAAATGATTTTATTGAAATTTAAAAAATTAAGGACTGCAGATATGTAAACCAAAGCGACTGATTTAAAAAAAAAAAAAAAAAACGAACAAATTTTGATGAGCTACAGATTTTAGAGAGGCAAGTGAACTAAAAAGCTCAAATACTTGAATTTAAAGACATTTCAGAACTTCCCAGATTCAAGATTTTGAACTCATCAAGGATCTTTGTTCCAAACAAGAAGAAACTTGTAGGAAGGCTTTTCAGAAAGGACAGACTGAAGAGCTACCTTGACGAAACCATACGGATTTGACAAATTACACAAAACTGGACAAAACCCAGAAAACATGTGATCGGCAAAGAAAAGCAGGTCTAAGAACCATCAAAACAAAAAGTTAGACCTGCCAAAAGTCCACTTAGAATGCAAAGATATAAAAAGTAAACAGCACAACATGAAAATTAACTAAAGTATCACATAGAATAATTAAAGGATTATCTCATTACCACCTCCAAATTCAGTGGCTGTTCCACATCTCTTCTACAACTTAATGTGAGCTGGGGGATGGGGGTAGGCACCAGCCACATATTTGAGATTTGCAAACAATTTTCCTGTGAGTTAGTGTGTGAAATCTCTGGACTAGTAGCAAATAACACTCTTCTAAACTGGGGATTGCACATGGCTGAAAAACACTAAATAAAATATATTTAAAATGAACTAGCAAAAATGATCAGTTTTCCACCCTGGATCACTAACACTTCTCATATAATGTGTGGCAAAGGCACTGTCTAAAAGAAAGGCCGCAGCTGATGTTGCTGAAAGGAGCATATCTGTCTGGAGACAAACTACAAATAACATTTCTCAAAGATAACTTGACCCATACAAATTTACTATTTTCATGAATGACCCTAGCACAAAAGCAAAGAGTTTGTGAAGTTTCCCAGTTACTGCTAATACACAGAAAGACTTCACTGTTATATCCTTCTAGGCCATTTATTTCTGAGTAATGACAGAAACAGTATGAAATTTAACAGTTCCTTGGAGCCATATAGAAACATGTCAAAAGTTGGGAGCTCTTTGATTGGAAAATCACCAGGGAAGGTAATATACTTGGGTTTACAAGTCTACAATTTTGTTTGCTGTTGAACAAACACTCCATTAAGTCATCCCACAGCTCACCATTTCTGCTATGCACACATAGCAATGAATACAGAAAACGTTTTACATGCAACGCTAAAAATCAGCAACATTGCAATGAACCATTACAACTCTAACATCTGTAAGACCACTCTGATCTAGGTATACACAATCTAAAACAGAACACTCTGCTTTTCAGCAGCCCTTTAATCTGACCAGTTACATCCCCAGAAATTTTAACTGGCTGGCTTCCATGTCCACACTTGACAGAAGGTTTTCTCAAAGAACTCAAGTGATGTGTTATCACACGAGGTATACAGACAGCATTGCTATTCAGAATATATTTTAACGTGTACTTGTACTCGCAGATGATATATTATAAAAGTAATTTGCAATGTCAAGTTTACTTAGTCGATGTATTCCAACAAGTCTGAGTTTTAGGATCAAAAGCCTCAGTCTGTTTTAGTTCTGCAGGTTCCCTTTAGCTTTACAACAAATGTTGAGGTTGGAAGGAGAGTAAGGGTAGTCAAATCACTTACTGTCTTAATGGTAACTGATGATTAATTTCACTGAGGAAAGTTAAAAAAGTAGTTTCCCATTAAATGGATCATCTTTTGACACATGAAAGTAACAACACATCAACACACTGTAGTACAGATGGAGTTTTCTTAGGCAGCCCTGCCCTAATCTTCACCAATAAAGTCTTCTCTAGGGTGCGCTACATCTACAGAGCAATGGCTTCTTTGGATGAGACCGACAGCTATTCTGACTTTTTTTTTTTTTTTTTTGAGAGAATAGGTGGAAAAGGAGGAGTTGAATGTAGCAAGACAGACTGCTCAGTTAAACTAGTCAGCCATAGGTATTACTTACTAGATATTATCTCAAAGCCATCCCAGAAGTCACGCACTTTCACGTCTGAAATTATGGCACAGTTCCTGCAGTTCACCAAATCTACATCTTGATCTCCAAATTCCAGGCTGAAAGCTTCTGGTTTCCAAAGCTCAGACTTCAACTTCTTATGGACACCAGATACCAGCACGGGCTGAGAATACAAAGATGAATGCTTACTCCACCATAACCAAATCTCTTACACATGCAGCCAAACTTTAAGAGCTGAGACTCCTGGCTACCATCATACAGAAGACACCACAAATCTATTTTCATCCATGTCTGATTTTTGTGCTTCAAACAAATAACCAGAGTCAAAGGAAACTTCAGTTCCAGACCATGGGCACTTGCCTTAGAAGTGGTACTGCATTAAGACTTACTAAGGCAAGTGTGTTAGGTCCCCACGGCAGGGTGCTGGCAGCAGGGGTGGGCGCTGTGAAAGGAGGGTGGGAGCTGCCCTGTGCTGGACGCAGACAGTTCCATCTGGCTTCAATAGGCCAAAAGCTGAACCCAGGCCAAAGCTGAACCCACAATTCATGCTGGTGGTGCTTCTGCGATAATAAGAAAGGGTAAAAAAAATGCTCCACAGCTGCAGGGGACAGTGGGGGGGG